CCCCCCCCCCCCCTCCCCCCTCACCCGCCCCCCCAGCTTTCAGCTCTCCCCAATATTATGCCCTTCCTGTCTTCTTTCCTGGGGTGTCCCCGAGACGCCTTTATAAGTCTTATTTGAAAAAAAAATAGGAGGGGAAGTTGAAGGCGAGCCAAGATGGCGCCGCTTGGGCGACCATGAGGAACTCACGAGAAACGAACTCGAGTATTTATGTGAATGTGCGTATTTGCCAGACGGCCAAAAAAGCCGCGAAGAGAGATCCTCCCGAGGTCGTTTCGAGGGAATTAACGATCTCGAACGAATCTGGGATTCTTCGGTATTTTTTACACCTCAATCGACGCAGGCACCGAGCCCCGTGTTACGACGTTTCCCAACTAATTTAAATTTTCGACAATATAGTGAGCCTATACTATCGTCCAAAAGAAACGATACAAGGTAATTTAGGACTCGCACGCGTAGTAGTGTGATGGCATCAAATCTGCTTTTTGCTGAACAAGTCAACACCGCCTGAACATAATTAGCATGTACTCACCAACCCTTGAGGGCTGTGCAAGTGAATATGCCTATTTAGGTTTGCTTCATGCCATATGTAAATTCCAGACTTCTAAAAGTAAAAAAAATGGCTTCATTCCAATGTGCATGTCATGCCGTCACATCAGAGATAAGGCTAACGCAGCAACAAAGGGACCAGACGATTGATTAAAATGCCACAAGAGGGTGTGACGCAACGGGGATTCGGATGCGCTCCTGTGGCCTATACCGGGTTCAATCAGCGTTTCATCAAAATTGGCAGAACACTTGACCTTGAGAATCGCTACATCCCTCAAGGTCAAGTTTTCTGCCAGTTTGTTCCTGGAGGGTCTAAGACGGTGTAACACCTGTTGCGTTACACCCTCTTGGAGCATGTTAATCGCCTAATCCACATGCTGCTGCGTTAGCCTTGGCTTATCGCTGATGTTTTTCGGAGACGGTAAGACATGCACATTTGAATAAATCTATTTTTGCCTCTGGAAATCTGAATTTTACATGGGGCATGGAAATGCCCAAATTGGCACGTTCCTCGGCACGTGCACAACGCTCAATAGTTGGCGAGTACACGGTAATTTTCAGGCAGTGTTGAATCATTCAGCTAAATGCAAGGTACAATCTCATCACAAATCCTGCTGCGTGGGCGAGCCCTAAATTACATCGTGCTGTTCCTTTTGAATGCTAGTGTATTTTAGTAAATGGGATCTTTAGTATTGTTCGGAATTCTGAGTCATAGCTGCACTGCGAATATTTCCAGGAATTTCTCATATAATTTTTTGCACGTTTTCCCGCGAGTCGTGCCCATTTCTTTTCCATTTCTCTCAAAGCTTCCCATTCATTCCTTTGATCTCCGTAAAATAAAAAATTCCGCATTTTCCTTCAGCCGGAAACAATAGTCTTCCTATGGTGCTTCCGAAAAGCACGATGAAAAGCTCCTTCTGAACCCGGCCGATACCCTCTGAAATGCGGACTCACCTGAGGTGGGATTCACGTACTGAGAAGCCATTCCCAGGGCGACGACGAGGGCAAGGAAGCACAGCAGTCTCACCGGGATCCAAATCAATTCCATGCCCCCTTTGATCACATATCTCTCTTTTCGACGTGGGACCTTCGTCGCTCTGCGTGCAGATCGAACGGAAACTGTGAAAACGCGTTCGGACCGCGTTCGAACGACGGGGAAGAGACGGACTCACCCGCGTCGCAGCTGACCATCTCGACGACGAGACGCGAGAGAGGCGAACACCGCGGCAGACTCCTCGGCGGTCCGAGAGGCTCTGGACCGGAGGCAAGGAGGACAAATCTTCCGGGCGCAGAAATGAGGAATGGAGAAGACGAGAAAGTGGCGGTGGGTTTGACGAACGGTTCGCGCATGCGCGGTCGCTCTCTCCCTCGTTGCACGAGATGCGCAGTAAATTCCATCCAGAAATTTATTTGAACT